AATGCTGTGGAACTTTGTAAAGGGCTTCAATATATATAGTGTTTATATATACAAATGTCATATATTTTAAACGCATTTGAGCTAGAAAAACAAGGCGCTTGTCTGTTACGTATACTTTATTGTTAAGTTAAGCATACCTTTAGGCTTTTCTATGACCTCCATCAATTATGTTTCAGGACACACTTCTTTTCTCCTTTTAATCTTTTGGAGGCTACACAGTGGAAGTTGCCCAGTCGTGAATTCCTAATATCAATCACGAACATAATTTGAACCCGAGAGCCCTGGGGATTCTTGGCATCAAACCTTGCTGATCCCCCAAGCCACTTCAATGGCAGGCTTACAAAAGTAAAGGCACGTATGGCTTAAACAGCTCGCTCCTGTGACCAAAGTATTATCTCATTAGCTTTAATAACTTAAAGCCTCGAAACTCTATTAAGAATATGTTTTTATATGCCAACAGAAAGTCATTAACATAAAGAAAATCATTAGCCCTCCACAGTGAACAGGTTTTGTGTATGATTAATGACCATGGCTGAATCTATGCAACACTATGCTGTATTCTATTTTACTCAAAGGGTGCCCTGTCGCTTCTCTCATCTCTGACAAATGTGGACCACTCCCCAGAGAGTTCAGGCTCGTTCTATATTAAGAAGGAATTTTTATTTTTGTTTTCTTTTTCTCCTCTGAAACCATAAGCCTTTAACGCAAGGCAGGCTTAAAGAGTGCATAAATCAGCTAATCAGACATCCATATTAAATAAGAATGTTGAGCTTCAAATACATTCATGAGAAGTCTGCAGTATTTGTGTTTGTTTTTCATTATATCCCAACATAATCACATACTTTGCTTCTTCCATTCACCCCTTCTTTACCTTTGAATGATAATGGATTAGAGACATGTTTCATTATTTAATAATTAATACCAAGTCATGCACCAAATTATTAGAATTGGGACACAATAAACTTTCTGAAACTTATTGAGCAAGGTTTTCAAATATTCTTTTCTCTTCTACTCTCAGTATAAATTCTGAAGTACAAACAGAATACTCCTAAGACCTGAGAGTGTATGCAATCTATTGCAAGTAACTTATTTATAAACTACACAGCAATATTAATAGCTTCTAATGATACGGTGTATGCAAAAAAACGTATTTTTTTGTTAAGCATTTTTCCTCTACCCACAAAGTACAATTCTTTTAACTGCCAGAGCAGTTATAGGAAAGTTTATTCTCATTCTGTGAACAGATGGTAAAAACGCTGATGTTTTCAAAATCACTGTAAGACTTATATAAGCATAAGACAAAAGGCAATTGCCCCTATGTTTCATTTCTTATTTCATTTTCATAGCTGATTTTCTATTTAATTGTATTCACTTAAAACATGCCAGAAGTTTTCATCCTCGCCATCAATAAAAATGCCTCAATTAATTTTCTTAATGCAGCACCGTAGCATTTTTACAAACCCTATTGGAACATGTTCTGAAAGAAGCAATTCAGAACATTTCTGCTTTATTTGATTTACATATAAAATATCTAACACAACATACCACGGAATTATCATTTTATTTGAAAGGTGTGAAGATATAAAATTTGGCATTTCAACACAGCTGGGTGAAATTGATTCTGGTTTTGTTTCAGTTTGTGAAAGAAGGTTTCCTACGTTAAAAACAAAGAAAAACGAGATTGAAATTCCTGGAAATGTTAGTTACACTTCAAAATGAGAGGTATGATTTGAAAACACTGTCATTTTCTTCTTTTGTTTTGCTTTTATTGAAGTACTGATGGACATATTTTACTGCAGAGCATTCAGAAAACCAAAGTCAATTTGTGAAAACAGTAATGAATATTCTTAATGGAAACATTAATTAAACTACCTAGAGACAGGCACAGAATGTGAATAGTCATTATCACCTCCATTTAATTTCTAATTTTTCAGACCTGTTTTGTAAGTATTTTTTAAATGTCTTTCTCTCTGTGAAAATGTCACATACTGTTCTGCAACCATAACGTCATTCATCTATTGTGAAAGAGTGGCTTTCAAAACCATGTCACTGATCAGATTTGATAACAATGTTTACACAAGTGTTCAGCTTCTAAATGGAAATATGTCACTATATTCATACTATCATGGAAAACAGAAACAAATGGTTACACGATGGTATAAATATAAAAGACATTACATTTTACCAGAAGATGTACAAACAGCAAAAATAAACTTTACCGAAAGTCCACAAGAGCTATAGCCATGAAGAGTGCTGAGACACAGAGTTTTAAATTCACTTAATGAAGCTGTCCATTAATTCAATAATTGAATTTATGTCCAAAATGCTAAAGGCACTAGCTAATTAATACAATTTTGAAAACTAGTTAGGAAATGCTATTTACAGTATGTTCAAATCCTCTAATCATTAACATACCTCCCAGCCATACTACGATAGCATTTAAACTCATTTATTTTCTAGTTTTTTTTTATTTTTATTCTTCATGTTAGCAAAGAAAAATGATTGCCTTAGGTACCTGGATGTCTTCCCACAAGCGAGGATTTGCACATCTAGATTAGTTTTCTTTCTATCACTTCAAAGTAGTCCTGTGTCTCAGGCAAATTAATATGTTCATTTTTTTCTATATTGAACATTATGAGTAATGTTCTTTTAAAATGTTTTCTTAAATTTAATATCATTCATCTACAATAGGTAACTATTTGTTTGGCGAATTATATATTTTCTGTAATTGTTGCCTAAAATGCCCAACTGACCTACAGTATGATCCCCACAAAGTGAATTTAACAGTCACCTTATTACTGAATATTCCAAAAGTATACTGGATTAAACCTATTCATGAACATACTTACAGTTCACCATACCATCAACATTTTTTCATGACTGAAGTCAGTACATATGCACAAGAGAGCACATTTTAACAACTAAATCAAGTCTATGCGCTATAAAACTACATTACAAAACTGTTTTTTTCTTCAAAGTCTTTCTCGGGGAAATCTTACATTTAATATATGCAGCTATGAAAGCCTGACCCGTATCGAGTAGCACACCATCAATCTCGGTCTGTTTGTATAAGAGATGGATCGCACAGTTGCCACAATCACCCTCGTTTGCACTCCAGCCTCAATTTTCCTTCTCACAAGATAGTGGTCTCAGCGAGAAGTCCTAAGCACGGAGAAATATCACAAAGCCCACGAAGCCTCACTATCACACTCTGGAAACCATGCAAACACTGCCCTCTTAATAAACTGACCTGCCACCACCCCCAACCCCCCCAGAAAAGATTTGCTTCTAGACATTTTATATTGATTCATAAAATTATAAAATCTTTACATAGAGGGTTTGTTTCCACTTAAAATCACACACCTCTTTGCCGTGTAGAGGTCTCCGTAAAAAAAATATTGCATACAAAATAAGAATGAGTACAGTACATACGACCACGACATGTGAATGCAGTAGACCAGCGTTTAATGAATGCACCTACATTAAAAACACAGTTCCATTAGTAGCACGTAAAGGCACATCATGACAGTATTTTCTAGATTTTGTTTCGTTAAACACATACTGGGAGAGTACAGGCAAGGCTTAAACATAAAAACTGTTGCAAGTATACGTAAACGATCCCCACACTTCTGATTTGAAAACAACACTAGTAGTACTAGCACTTGGCTGACGAGATAAACATGTTTAACTCTATATTACAGTAGCTGTAACACTGCCAGGGACGCATACTGTATGTACAATACCTTAGAGGCAATACATGCCATTTCACAGTGTAATGTTAAAACTTGTCTAAGAACAAAATAGTGTCTTAAGTCTCCAATGGCTTTATCAGGTGCGAGGATTTTTAATCTTTAATTCGAAATTGGATCCTATCACATAACGTCACTTAAACTACAGCAGCCACACTAATACTCAATACACAAGTTTCAATAGTTTATATTTCGATACCCATCTACTGTATTATAATTCCTTAGCGTATTCAGTGTGCGTTCGTTTAAAATACTGTAAAGCACGACTGTCCTACAGCATGAAGACAAGAAGATGACCCCTATTCCCCAGGAAAAAATGGGCACGGTGAAACACTTCAACATCTCAAACACATAAAAAATATATCAAAATACCCTAGTCCGTCAATGTGCGCACTGAAAAAGATGACAACAAAAACTCTAATTTAAGTCCAAAATGGTGAACTTTATATTATGAAAAATGAACGAAGGACAATTATTATCAAAAGGACTAAAATGCTTCTTTATTGTTAATATGCTTATTGAACTTAATTGAGTAATGTAAAACCTTCCCATTTTCGTGTCTCTTTCATATTTTATCTTCGATGCGAGTTAATTGTATCGGATAGACTGTCTGGAGAAACAGCAACGGATCCGTCTGCCCTCGAATGATGTGAAATCTTTGTCGATCCCGTTGTGGTTTGCTGCCACTGTAACATTTTTATCAATAAAAGTAACATGCATTGCTTGGTGTGACAGAGCTCCTGGGGGAAAGCCACATTGTACAATCTAAAACGGGAATACCCACAACAAAACATAATCTTGCTGTCACGCATAATGCAAGAATTATATCTAAAGTCATTCGTTTTTTTTTATTGTCCGAAAAGCGGCACCACCAACAATACAGAACGCAGAAGCTGTGTGCTGCACGCTCCTGCCGTATAAAGTCTGTATCTACAGATTATTGGTTCAGGAACGGATACATCACCTAAACACATCTGGACACTGTAATAATTAAAGTGCATGCTTACTTTTCTCTCTCGGCTGCCATCCAATTGGCTGAGACTGTAATCAATTTACTTTTTTTTTCATTTAACACGCAGTTTGACACTCACTAACGTTAAAGAGTTATGCTGGCAATAGTCATTATTATTCTTATTATTCTTATTATTAACGCTGGGAAAAGTTTTTTAAAAAATCTTATTACAGCACCGACTCGGTCCATAAACTTCAAATAAATAAACAAATCAGAACAGTAAAACAAACGAGTATCACCTTATTGCAATAGTAAGGGTCCAGGCAATGCGAGGGTCCCAAGCAGGAAGGATCTGTAGCTGATGCAGGCTGTGCTGGTGGAGGATAAAATCTCACGTCCATCTCAGTAGAAACATCAATCAACTCCTGTATTTCGGGTTCTTGTTTTCGTGTACACAAGGATTAAGAGTAAAAAAGAGCAAGATGTATGTGACTTAGTAATGGGTATTAGTAGCGCTCGTAGTACTGAAATACAGTAGAGAGGAACACCTTCTCTGCCTCACATCCGTTTGCGGTTTGCGAAAAACTCTCCAAAAATGAACCAGTCTCGCAAGCGTTCTCAAAAGCGAATTAATACAAAATCTACCTGGAAACTACTGTTTATCTCCTCATTGAACGACGTTAGCCTATTTTTATGCAAGTTTATTTTTCTGTTTATTTTTTTACGGAAAAAAACAAATCAGAGGATCCTTTCGGAATGGCTTCCCAACGCATTTAGTGAAGCAGGGCTCTGTTTGCTCTTAGCCTCCAACATTTCACACAAAAGACTCGCACGACAGAACATGAGCTAAAGCGCTTGTACCCCTCAGCGGTGTACAGGGGGCGCCACAAAGAGAGCGAATACCAAATCGCTTCTATTCACAGTCCTTGAACAGGGCTTTCTTTTGCTGCTTCGCAAGTTATGAGACATTATGAAAATCTATTACTTTAACTGGAATAAAGTCAGTCCTTGTTCCACTTGATTCTTCCGTACTGATTGACATACTGTATAGTGTATACAGTTGTAGAAAATCTTACTTCCCTGAGCCGTAGATTTTTTTTTCATTCTATTGTGGGACAAGTGCAGTCCTGCAGTTGGTAGTAATTTGAATAGTATTGGGTGTCCAGATATGTAAAAAAACAGTGAGAATTTATCGCAGGTGAAATGGTCAAAACCATTTTATTTTGATTGAAAAATTCTATTGATATACATTTTTGTGTTTAGGGTTGTGATATGTTGCGGTAGCTTAATAGATTTTTAAGTTTGGATCCTAATGGTTCATGTGAAATCATCAGTAGTGAATAGGAAAGAAATAAAAAAACAGCGTTGAGCTATTCGTGTGGGGAAAAAATACAAGTTTCATGAAAAATCGCTGAATTTGTGACTGTTTCTGTATTTTTAATACACATTTCAATCTGCCCTCGAATGGTATGGATTGAAAAATATTTTAAGCAGAGAGACGGGATGAAATGTAAAATATCTTTCCATCTGCTTCCTTCACTCTCCTCTTTAACAAAATAAAATACAACAACCCAAAGTGTTCCCCTTTTGTTGGGAAATTTGTGAGTTACCTGATAAATCAATTTAAAGTACTTATTACTGTACGGGTAAATATGCTGGTTCTGTCCTCCACAAGATGCTTTCAAATGTTTGCATAGTGCACTATGTGTATATAATCAAAAACGAAAGTATTGGTACTCAAGAGGTAGAGCTCACCTATACATTAGAATTAATTCCTCAGTGCTGTCCATTTGTTTTGAAATCCTTTCATTCTATGCACATATTGTAATAATAATTTGTTGTTGAATTCTAAATATGAATATCTACTTTTTCTATATCCATGTGTTCAATGAATAACACAAAAAGTACCATTGTGGCTTTCCCCTTATTAATCTCACAACTATCCATCCATCCATTTTCGAACCACTTTATCCAATACAGGGCCACAGGGGAGCTGAAGCCTATCCAGGCATGCAACAGGCGCAAGGCAGGGTATACTCTGGACGGGACGCTAGTCCCTCTCACAAGTCTCACAAGTATACTGTATATTCACATTCATGTGGTTTGTGATTAGCTTTTTGAAGTCTTTTGGGTGAGTAAATAAAACCTCATTTATATTTTTTAAATAAATTATTTATTGATGACTGTCCTCATCTTAGAGGTTTATGAACCTGTAACGATGAGTTCACCATGTAGCTGAGATGAGACTGGATTGTACATGTGGATCGAAGTGTTTGAGGTCATTTTTATTTTTAATAAATCATTTATTGATCACTCCGAACTTGTCGCGGAAGCCAGGGGCTGGCTGCGTAGCGGGAGGAACGGAGCAAATTAGGGGGTTTGGTTGGGGCTCAAGGTATCGTGTGGAGTCAGAACGAGACATAAGCCCTCAGGTAGCAGACGTGGGGCGACCTGGTGAGGCGAGCCTCTGGACAACCCATCCCAATGTCGAGCAAGGAGGATAGGGAGACCCGGAAATATAAAGCCCCAGACAACAAGACACGCTGGAAGGACAAGTAAAGCACAGGGAAACTAGGAACAGGACAGAGCAGGAGCGCCCTCTAGATGTGGAGGGCGTGACAGTAACCCCCCTTTCAAGGACAGCTCCTGATGCCCCAAAAATAAATAAATGAGCTGCACAGCACTGAGGGGAGGAAAAACCTCATTTAACTGAAAGGAAACCTCCGGGAGTCCACGGCTGAGCATGACCCCCTCCTCCGGCGTAAAACCCTCTATTGAGTAGAGGAAGGGGGGCGGGAAGGGCTCCGGGGGAGCGAGACAAAAAAAAAACAGACAAAACACTAAAAAAAGCACGCACAACAAGAAATAAGCCCTGATGGAACAGGGGAGCAAACAACACATAAAAATGACTCACAAAAAATAAGGAGACCAGGGGACATGGAAGCCCAGACCAGAGAGACCAGAGGGCGTGGGAGCCCAGGACAGGGATACAGTGGGCTTGGGAGCCCAGGGCAGGGAGACAGCAGGCACGGGAGCCCTGGAGACAAAGCACATTAAAAAAAAATCACTCACAAAATTAAACCCTGATGGAACAGGGGGATGAACAACATGAAAAATACCAGGGAGACAGGGAACCAAAAACCAGGAAAAAGGACAGGAGATACCAGGACCAGAAGCCAGGGCAGCCAGAAAAACAAAAGCCAGGAAAGAAGAAAAGGGAGACAATAAACTGAAGGCAGGGTGGCCAGGAGACCACTCGCGGGGTCCATAGCAGACTCAGCATGCTGTCATGGAAGCTGGGGGCTAGCCGTGGAGAGAGACGGAGAGACGGGAGGTCTATATGCGTAGCGGGAGGAAGGGAGCAAACATGGGGTTTCGGTCCGAGCTCAAGGTATCGGTCGGAGTCGGAATGAGACATAAGCCCTCAGGTAGTTGACCTGGTGAGGCGAGCCTCTGGAAACCCATCCCAATGCCGAACAAGGAGTATAGGGAGACCCGGAAATATAAAGCCCCAGACAACAAGACACAGCAGAAGAACAAGTAAAGCACAGGGAAACTAGGAACAGGACAGAGCAGGAGCGCCCTCTAGATGTGGAGGGTGTGACAGAACTCATCTCTGCAAGTTTATGAACTTTAATGAAAGGCAGATAGTGATATTGCTATAGGTGTCTTTGTATTGTATTTCCAGTATAAGAGACTTGACTTAAGTAAACTGGCAGGCCTGCAAGTCAAGTCACAAAGACTAACTATGCATAGAGGTAAAGTCTTGGTCTGCTGGTTTAGACATGTCACACACAGGATATCGAGAAGAAGGTCAGTCTACTAGATATTTAGATCCATCAGGTAATCTTCCAGATACAGAGAGATATATTACCCCACTATTAACTACTGACAGCTGGGAGGAGTTCCATATCTTGATGCTGCTGAGTACAGTCAATTATCTTTCATTGATGATTTCTGTGACTTGTGTTTGTGTGTGACTTGTGGAGTGCTCACATACAAGGGCCACCCAAGCAATCCTGGCACAGGACAACTTTCAAAACAGCGGAGTGACCTGCGTCCATGGTTCTCAGGCGTTTTCCATTCTGTCAATAACCAGGGACCAGCTATGTCAAGCAGTTTTGCACAGCTTCAGAAACAGGTAATGTGTCTTTACTGGGAGATGTACTTCTCTCTTTTCCAGGGTTGACAATGTACAACTGTCATCGTTAGAAAAGGCGTAGACAGATTTATGGTTACACAGTACATAGTTAGAACTTTCACTGTTGACAGTGGGTGAAAGCACACAATAATGATTGAAACTAGCTATGTAGTGCTTTGGCTCAAATTAATGGCTTATATAACTATTAGATATCAGAATTTGAGTTTTTTTTTTAATTTAACTTGTATGTATGCACGAATGGCTTCCAAAATGATACTCATACTGAATGTAATCTGTTTATTTTGGAACCAATTATAAGTAAATTGACTAGATGTTCAATTTCACTGCTTTCAAGATATGGCTAGATGAGGGATGAGATCATTGGATCAATTTGTTACTCGCAGCCAAACAAGTTATGTGGGCCAAATGGCTTCATCTTCTTTGCAAACATTCTTGTTCTTGTGTGCACATTTTTGATTCACGAAACCAAAGCTCTGTGATCGTGTCATTACATTATTAGCCATTATGATGCCCTTATTACCATATTTATTGTTGATCAAAATATAGAAAAGAATGTCATGTATTCCTCTGTCTGTCATTGTTGATACAATATTAACTTTTCCCCATTAAGCTGCCTATTGAAAAATGTAAACTAATCAATTTTCCTTAATTGACTAAATGAAGCACCCTGTGGCTTGAGAGGCAAGTGGAAAACATGATGTATAATATAAAAATACAGAGAACATTTCACAAAAAGGTTTACAAATTACAAAGGCATAAAAATACTACAGTACAAATACAAAGCAATGTAAGCTCTGCATTTAATTTTTTTAACATTTTTTAAATTTATATCATGATTTGAGAAATGTATATGCTATAAAACCTGTTCTTGTCCTCTTTTTTCTGTGCTTTTCAAAGCTAATTAACTTAACACTGCACCTGTTCATATTAATTTCATTCATATTTAATTTAATTTATGTTTCATTCAGATTCTGCTTTAACTATTTAATCTCGTTCAGGTATTGGGTTGTTGATATATTAATTACTGGCAGTGAAGCAAGCTACAGAGGCAAAGTATCCTGCTCTTGTCCGGAATTCTTGTGTTTTAATGTTCTTAATAGCTTATGGTGTAGATGGTTCCAAACCATTCTGCTTGGTCCAGACCATTAATCTGTTGTTCTTGATTTTATTGGTCACCTAGGTCATGTCAGGCTCTTATACAGTAACTCATATCCTATACATTACTTTATACCATTTTGAAAGTAATTAGACTGTAAAAAGTACTCACATAGTTTTTGAGCATTGGTATTAATTATGTGAATACAACTTGCATGTAGTACTCAGTCATGTAGAATGAAGCCATAAACAGCAAGCACAGATTGGACACCTTGTCCTGTTGAAAATAATGGTGTTTGAATCACATGCTTCTACCCACAAGAAAAGGGAAAAAGAAAAGAAAAGGGTTGTCTCTGTTCATGTAATAACAGTCATAAATAATTAATGTACTATAGTTTGAATACTTGAAGATACACCTACTGCCTTACACAAGAGGTCATTTCCTAGTATGTTGGTCGTGGCATTTCCTGTATGTACTAAAGGCTTGAGGTCCCACTCAAAGTGTCATATGGAAGAGTGTGCAAATGTGCATGAGTAACAATAATAGTGTCCTCAGCATGAAGCACAAGA